TAAGTAAAATTGTTATTTTATCTTATATCAAGGAATAAATATATATACTAAAATCACATTTATATTAATATAAATGTGTTAGTGAGATAATATATTAAATATTTTACAAAGTAGTCCTAACATGCTCATATTTAATGATGTGGCTAAAAAAATAACGCTGATTAAAATAGGTAGAAAATAAATTATTGCTCTATTATTTCTTACACTTAACACGCTGATTAAAAAGGTGGAAAACATATGATAATCTTGTTGCTTTTTAAACTTAAAAAGACAGAGCATGTGAAATAACTCATTTAATATCTCTGATGATCACTGTCCCGCGCATCGCACGAGGTACGTACTAGTAAATAAATAACATAGATCTAATTTTTGTTATGGCAATTCAACACAAGGTATTTGAAGGTAGCATTGTGGGATATGATAGGTACATTTCTATAATCCTAAATGTATCTACATTCCTTTATATTAAAATATGTATAATTATAAATGTTAGTCCTTTTATAGTTGTATTCGATATACTCATTTTGTTACATCCATCTTACTTTTTCTGTTTCCTTGTGCACCTTATATATATAGAGAGAGTTAGGATCATATGAGAATGGTAGATAGTGAAAAAAATAAGAATGAATCTGGACCATTGGATATATCATAGCCATGGTCATGATAATGTCAACGTTTAATAAATAATGGTCAATCATTAATGGTAATATGGTAAATAAATAGATACATGATAGTCAAATATATAGATTTTACCACTAACTAAGGGTAATTTAGACATTTAAATCAAACACACCATGGGGACCCACCACCTCACACAAACCCTACACCCTTCCCACCTACCCGTCACTCACATTTCACCAGCCGCCCACACACACAAACACAAACACACACACACACACTTCTCCACACACAGAGAAAACGACCCGTCGCCTCCTCAGCGGCGGAGCACCGCCACCTCACCTCCGCAGCCCATCGCCGGAGACGCACGCGACCAACGGTGGAAAACAGCCCGTCACCTGTATAGGATTGCTGGACGCGACTTCCCCCAGCCGGCTCCGACATACAACCACCAACTCTATCACCGTCGTGACTGGAGATGTCCGCGACTCAAAATTCCCCGGCAACACACAGCCCCTTCCTCCTCGCCGTCGTTGCCAACAAACCAAACCAGTCTGCCATCTGTGATTCCAACTCGTGCGTGTGTGTGTGTGTGTGTGTGTGTTTGGGTGATGGTGTCGGTATGGAAAGGGCATCAATTGACGGCCGATGGCGACTGCGAGAGGACGGCGAGGAGAATGGACGGCGGCGGCGACGATTTGGTGCAGTGGATTAATTTTTCTTTTTTTTTATTGAGGACGGCGTGGGTTGAGCGGGACTTGGGCGACGAGAACGGCGACGGCGGCGGCGACTGCGGTGTAGGTGTTGACAAAACAGGCCTGAGTGAACTACGGCGGACGTGAATTATGGTGTTCAACTTTTAAGATTGTGGGTTTTTTTTTTTAGAAATTGATATAGTTTAGGGACTTTATTGCATATTGTAAAATCTTATTGTATTTTAATTTATTTTGTGGTCAATTTGTAATATAATAAAAATTTAGTAATTGCACAATAATGTTATATAAAGTGCACATTACCGTGTAAGACATTGCACATTACCGTGTAAGAAATTGTACATTAAAAAATAACACCATATTTGTATGAAATCATAAATTTATTGATGTCTACACATATAAAAATTCACAAATTTATCAAAAAGCTACTTCGTTTAGGTTATTCATTAGTTGGTCTCGCCGAATTGATCGATTGACATGTAAAATTGATATATTCGTGTTGAAATTCGAACAAGCGAACTTACCGAACTCTTGTCTCAATACAAACTAATACTGAACCGTCATAACGGTTAACCGGTGTAACCAAAATAAATTATTATTTGTATTATAAAAAATTATATTTAGTATTTTACTATTTTTATTAATACTTTATATTTTGTTTGTTTAAAAAAATAATGCATATGTAAATAACATATAGTGTGCAACATGACCGTTATCAATGTGCAATTCGTATATCACTATGGTGCTCGGTGTCGGTCGATGGATTGTGCAGATTGAACTTTGGATTTGTCACAATCAAATGAAGTTGAACATAATTACTTGATTTGTACGGCATAAGCGAATTACCCTAAATTATTAAAATAGTTTGTTGTTTATATTAAAATTATAATTAGTATGTCAATAATTTTTTTCGTTATTTTTTATATTATGTTTGGTTGAAAATTTTTTAGTTAGGTTGGTTTCGATCTTTATTGTACAAAATATGATAGTTGTGATAAAGTGCATCGTGATGTTTTCTAAAGTGCAATTTGTCTAGTACTATTGTGCAATCTATTAGTCATTAATGTGCAATTCGTATAACGTTATTGTGAAATCGCAGTGCATGCATTTTTAATGACGTGCCCCCAAACCAATTTAAAGACCCAAAATAAAAGTTTGTTTGATCGGTTAACTGAATTAACCTAAATAATCGATTTGATTAATTTATATTATAAAAATAAATTTAATATTTTATTATTTTTATTTAATAAAAAGATATAATCCATCTGATATTGAAGCTTCGAATCGAAAATTCTAGACATGTTAGTTCGACCGCTAATGTGCAGTATGACAGGCACTAATATGCAACTAGCTTGACACTAATGTGCACAATTTCGGTACCAATTTGCAGTCTTAACCGATGAACTTTTGTTCCAAAATAAATTAACACCAAAATGGATTCATTGGTTTATTTAGTTGGATAATTGAATTAACCAAATAAATAACTTAAATAAGATATTTTTATATTTTAAAAACACATTTAGTATTTTAATATATTTTTTATGAAATAAATAATATTTTTATATAAAATACAAAAAAGAATACCTTGTTATATGTTATATCTCAAATGTGAAATTGTCCAATTCATTGAACATTATTGTGCAACTAAATTTTTGGTAAAGTGTAAATTTGCCCCATACACTCAATTATAATTTATTAAAGTTTAATAAATTTCAATTAGGCCCTTATACATTATTAAATTTCCAAAGCCGATCCCTAAATCCTAAAAACACGTTCAGGCCCAATTAACGGGCAACCGATTCAGCCGCCTTGAACAACCCGACTTGACAGGATGTCGGACAGGCGATGGCAGGAGGCGGCTCTGGGCGGCAGAATCGGGCTGTGACTGTCGGAGGCGACGGGCGGCGTTGGGATGGTGGTGCCGACATGAGGTGCCAATCGCGACGGCCGATCTAGAGCTCCGACGCGACGCCGATGAAGACAACGTAGTCGATGAAGGTCAATTTCGAGGCCGTCGGAGGACGGTGAAGTCGGTGAGCGGCGCTGCGGGCCTCCACTGGACAGGAACTCCGGCGATGGATCGATTGGAGAAGGGTCGGCAATTTCGGGGGACGGTGGTGGGCGATGCAGGTCTTCTCCCAGCGGTTGCAGAGGCGCGACGTTCCTTGAGATCGCGGCGGCGAAGGCGAACTTGCAGGTGGAGGGGCGAGGGGCGGTGACCAGCGGGAGGAGTTGCGAATTGACGGAATGTGTGTGTTTGTGTGTCTCTGTGTGTGTGTGTGTGAGAGAGAGAGAGAGAGAGCGAAGACACGTGGAGTGGGGGACGTGGGGTGGGATCTGATTGGGGTTTTATTTGTTGGGTGTTAGAAATGTCTAATTTGCCCTTAATAGGTATAAATGTTTGGCTTTTTTCTAATCATTGGATTATCCGATCGGACGGCTGCGATGTATTTTTATTTATTTCACTGAGCACTATTCTCACTGGAGCGCGACTATATATAAATATATATATGTATGTGTGTGTGTGTGGTTAATTTTGAAAAATATTATATGGTTAGTTGTTAGTGTGATTTTGAGTTTACAATAAAATAATATTTGAAATCAAATAAATAAAGTTGATATGATGTAAAACTATGAGAGAGGTGATATGAAATAAAAGTTAGTTAAAATTATATGAGTAGATGAACAGTGAATTAAAGTTGATGTAATATGTAAGAATGATTGATTTGTATTATTTAATTATATGAATAATATTAAAGATAATCATTTGAATTAAAGTTGAATTAAATTTTAAGTATAGATTAAATGTGAGTGATTTTTTTGTAAACAAGCACCCCTTAGTGTTTTTTTTTTCCCCGAAACGAACATATTTTATAATCAAAGAGAAAATGTATAGACAACCAACTAGTTATTAAACTCATTTATAATCAAAGAGAAAATGTATAGACAACCAACTAGTTATTAAACTCCTTTTATGTAAAAAGAAAGGAGTTTGCTGGTGAGACTACAAGCTCACCCTCCAAAGCTGACATGGCTAACAACTCCCAACTAAGTTACAACTTACACACAAAGGAACAAGAAGAGTAAAGAGACTTAAGTACCACAATGTCCTCAACAACAGTTGCCAGATTACAAGGTAAAGACATTCAAATTCAACATCTTCACAAGTTCTGTAGACTCCAAAATGCAAATTGTATCTGGCAACCCTAGGTCTACTGCCAGAACCCTTCTCAAGGCCAACAAGCATGCTTCTCTTTTGGATTCAATTTGAACACTCCAGGGAGTCCAGGTCTTCAAAACTTCATTCTCCTTCACTGATATTCATCCTAGAGTTGCTTCCCTCGAGGTTGAAACCTGAGCACTGACAGAGAGTGCAATATGTCCTCTCAACGAGAAAGTCTCTCCTTGGTTACAATCCTCGACCAGATGAGTTTGGAAAGCAGGGACCACCAGTCTTCAGATCTTCTCGGCTTAACCAGTCACTTCTTGCTTTCCTCACCACTTCCATCACCTGATATTGTTTGTTGTTGAACACTCCAGGGAGTCCAGGTCTTCAAAACTTCATTCTCCTTCACTGAAATTCATCTTAGAGTTGCTTCCCTCGAGGTTGAAACCTGAGCACTGACAGAGAGTGCAATATGTCCTCTCAAGGAGAAAGTCTCTCCTTGGTTACAATCCTCGACCAGATGAGTTTGGAAAGCAGGGACCACCAGTCTTCAGATCTTCTAGGCTTAACCAGTCACTTCTTGCTTTCCTCACCACTTCCATCACCTGATATTGTTTGTTCTTGAACACCCAGTCATTTCTAGCTTTCCATATGTTCCACATCAAACAGAATGAAAGAATAATTATGACTTGAAGAATGTTAGCTCTAGGTATGTTGCATACATCCTCCCACCAAGCTTTGAAAGTTGTGTTGTGGTCTTGCAGCAAAGCCCATTCCAGGCTTCTGGTTTGTGAACAAGTAAATAACAAATGTTCAATACTCTCTAGCCCCTCCCCACACAAAGCACATATCTCTTTCACCTTCATTCCTCGCTTCTTAAGTTGGCATCTAGTGCTCAAAAAACCTTGGTAGCATCTCCATATAAAATGTTTGAGGCTGGGTTGAAGAGGCAGCTTCCATGTCTTCTTCCATATTAATTCTTGTTTTGCATTTCCAAGTCTAGAGCATTGAGGTTCAAGACTAAGATTTCTATGAGCTATGATAGCCTCATAAGTAGATTTGACAGAAAACTTTCCATTGGGGTTGTGATGCCACACAAGTTTGTCTTTCCTTCCCACATGACTGACATGAATTTTTTTAATATACTCACATCAAGGGGGCTAAATGTCTGCTCTAATAGCTCCATATCCCACTCCTTACCTCTAGGCAGCTCACACACCCTCACCAATCTCTCATCATCTCATTGAAATTGTAGGTCGGGTTTAAAGGACTCTCTGTTTGGTATCAAAGGGGAATTCCAAATTTCAATGGCCCTCCCATCCCCAACCTGTAACCTAACTCCCCTCTTAAAAGACTCCCTAACCCCCCAACCAGCTTTTCCACAGACAAGAATCCCCATCCTTCTTCCTAACTTCAAGAATTCTTTGGTTGTGGAAATATCTTCCTTTAATAAGCCTACTCATGAGAAGATTAGGTTGAGTGACTACCCTCCACAGCTGCTTAACTAACAAGACTTCATTGAATGCCTCTAGTTCCTAAATCTCAAACCCCAACAAGCTTAGGTTTAGAGAGTTTATCCCAGCAGGCCCAATGAAGTTTATTATTGCCAGGCTCAGTTTTCCCACACCAAAATATAGCAAAAGTCCCATTCCACTCATTGCAAAGAGAGATAAGCATTTTGAATCATGACATAATATATACAGGCATAGCCCCCCAAAACAGCTTTCACAAGGATTTCTTTAACAGCCTCAGATAAGTAGCTATTTTTTCAATTTTGATTTTTTTTTTCAGTACACTCACTAACGTATCTGAAAGTCTCCCTAGATTTCCCTATCCCTAGTGGGAGCCCTAGATATTTAGCAGATTTGACCACAGCAATACCATTAAGAGTATGGCATATATCAGACATAGAACAGGCTCAGTGTTTTTAGAAAAGAAAACTACAATTTTCTAAAAATTGACACACTGCTCAAAGGCATACCCATACTCACTCAGTATATTCATTAAAATGTGAGCTTGCCTCACAAAAGCCTTACAGAAGAGGATGGTATCATCCGCAAAAAGTAAGTGAGAAATGGTAAGAAAATGTTTACTAATTTTCAGCCCAATGAGATTGGAACTCAAGCAGGATTGCTTCAACATATTAGACAGAGCTTCAGATAAGAGAATAAACAGTAACATTCTCTTAGTGGAAGCATGTGACTAATATATTGATCATATCTTCCCATTCAATCCCATGCTGAAAATGGAAAGAAGTAACATAAACACATTCTCAATGTCACTTCATATAATGCCCATTTTGATTCTAGTTCATTAGTGTTCTCACAAAATGTTAAAGCAAATCAGCTACAAATACCCTCGTGCGGCTTAGAAACCGGTTCTTCTCTGAGAAGGGGAAAAAAAATATAAAAAGAACGATAAAACTAAAGGCTGGAGAAAAACATGATAAAAATCTGAGAAGCCTTTGTCATTGGGCGACAGATATTGCAACACCCAATCGCCTTACAGTTCGTCCTGTGGAATATAGCCAATAAAACAAATGGAAACCAATGAGAAGAGGAAGCCAAGAAAGATATATATATATATATATATATATATATATATATATATGTGTGTGTGTGTGTGTGTGTGTGTGTGTGTGTGTGTGTGTGTATAGCGCACACATACGAAGTTGGCGATGAAATTACAAACTGAACACGCTAATAATTCCGTACATGTTTATCACCATCGGCTGGTTCTTCTGCAGATTTGGCATCGATTTCTTCATCATCAGCGTCTTTTCTGTCATCAGCATCATCATCTCCATCCTCAGCCTTAAGAAAATTCAAAGAGAAATAATTATAAGGAGATCCCAATATAGATATTCTTTCAGACCAAAGAACTTAGAGCTTACATCAGACTCTAGTGGGTCCTCATCATCATCCTTAGATTCCTGAAAACATGAGTCTATTTTTAGTACACCTAAAAAAACATAAGTCTATTTTTATTACACCTAAAGAACCAGCAGGTCATGTGAAAAAATATTAATGGCCATTTCTGAAATAAAGGCATGCACAGAGCCATTATATTCAACTCATGGTACCTCTTCTCTCTTCTTTTCTGCCTCATCAAAAGCTGCTTTCTCGGCCTGCAAAATCAAAAACCAATATAATCAGTCAGTTGCCAATAACAAGTCTCACAGAAATTTCCACTACTTTTGCAGGTACTGAATTGTGAATAACAAATGAAACATACATCCTTTTGTTTGCCCCATGTGTCTTCAGCCACTTGTTTAGCATATTCCGGGTCATCAGCTATCAAGATGTTGTCAAACAATGTTCCTGATTTCACCTGTAAGATAATATATATATATATATATATATATATATATATATATTCAGTAATTTAAGTGCTCAATCAAGGAATGAAATCATTAATATAAATAAGATAGAAAAAATGGAAATTAATCTTTTACCTGCCATAACTCAATTCCAACATACTTCAATTTAGGGAAAACGTAGAGATCTGGGTCATCCTTGAACTCTGAAATCATGCAAATATTGAGGTTGACCTATAGAAGACCCTTATAGTAGATGCGCAAACAAGTGCTAATCATTGAGAGGCAAGCATACCTGGGTTATCAATCAATGGCGCCTTCCACTTGCCCTTGTAGTTGGGGTTCTTGATTTTCTGTCAACAAAAAGGGCTATGTATTAACAAGTCCATTCAAATTGACAGGTTTCAGTAGACCAAAGATCCTACAAACCTTTGCCTTCCATGGGCCCTTGTACTCGGGATTGGGAATGGTTGGAGAAGTCCACTCACCATCCTCCTCATCATCCCAGTCCTCAGGCTGCAAATAAAAAGAATTTTTAGATATAATCATTAGTCACCTACAAGCGTCTAGAAGGCAACAGGGTCAGAGATAGGACATGGTGTATTAAGTGACCTTTTTGGCCTCAGGATCCACAATCTCCTTTGGGATGTCATCATAACCCTGTTGAACAAAAATATATACTCCAGTTTCAAATTAAATCAATAACACTACAAGATTCACCATACCAAAAAAATAATAAAAAACTTAAAAGTACCTCTGGCTTCTTATCATCTGGATCAGAAATGAATTCCTTATCGTCCCAATCCTCGGGCTGTAGTTATGATGCACAAAAACATGAGTGGATAAATTACTGACATAATAGGCTCTGTGACGGATATAAATAACTAATAGAGAACTAAACAAACCTTTTTAGCTTCAGGGTCCTTGATCTTCTTTGGAGGGAGAATATCCCAGTCACTGTACAAGCTACCAGTCTGCTTTTCCGAGTTGTCAATGAGGATGCTGTAAGTAGCGTCTGGGCGGAGGATGAAGGTATAGACGTGAGTCAATTGGTCAGTCTCACATGGAACTTCCTTCTTGATCAAGTGGTTCGTTCCATTGTAGGTCAGAATAGCATGAACCTTTTTGGTGGAGTAGCCACAAATATCTGGCCCGAACATGATACTGCATACAAACAATAATGAAGAACCACAAAATTTAAATTTGAACTGGATGAAAAACTAAATATGAAAAGAAATCCAGGAAATGCAGAATCAAAGGATGGGGCATTACCTGTATGGGGTGTCACCACCAAATTCTTTCTGGTCCACTTCACCGCTGAGTAACTTCATGTATCCACCACCACAGTCTAGCTTCTGCTCATGCTTTACAGAAAACTGGAAAACCAATGTTTTATCTTTATTACTGAATTCAGGGAATTCGGCTGAGATGGCGTAGAACCTATAGTCTTCACTTGTCTGAATACCTGAAGATATATAATAGTGGAAGATCCTCAAACCTTAGCACAGTATATTAATCAATACAAAAAAACAGCAAATTTTCTGCAAGATATGGTTACCTTTGTCATTTGAGTCTCCATGCCACTTTCCAGCAGTGTAATTCCACTCACCCGCCGTTTTGTCATTTCTCTTCCAGTCAGATTTGACCCACCGGCTCTCCCATCCATCTTTGAAAGTTATCCAACAAATTATGAGTACAAAACCATCAATAGAAACAGCAACCAGATTTATCTACTAGATTATAAGCAAATATAGGCATATTGAAATTGCACAACTACAATTCAAAAGAAAAAGAGAACAAAAAACTAATTTTGAATAGAAAAAAATCACTTTAATGCAAAGCACAAATAACATCAAGAGCACCAACTTGCAGAGCTTGCCTAAGTGATAGGTCAGCTTCCAATATAGTCCTAGGGATCAAAACTAACTAGAGGTGTACTGCATTACAGAATTGGCTATATCATCAGCTGTCACTATATGACAGAACAACGTTAGCACTCAAAATCTGTTACCACAAACTACACTCAAGGGAAAAATAAAAGACGTTTGATTCACGAAACCAGTAGCAGCCACTTCAATAATTTGGCAACCACTGCAGAAAATAGAAAAATTCAACCTTACATAAAAAACAAAGACGCGCATAGATAAAATATAATCTCAGATCTGTGCTAAATGATTTCAGTTCGATTTGAATCTAATCAAATGGCCTTTCTATCCACCACAACATTTAAGATCAATGAAACACAACACAAACCAAGCACCGATCATTCGAAATTAACAATAAAAACGAACAAAATATAGAAACGACGGCAAAACTGAGATGACAAACTAGTTTTTCAGTAAGGAGGTAATTTAAGCAGAGAGAGAAACATTACCATCAAAACGCTCCTCAAAGAATACTTTTGCAGAGGAGACCGCGAGGAGGAGAGATAGAGCGACAGCTAAAGAGAGAGGTTTAGGGTTCAGATATCTTCTCAGTGCAATCGCCATTGTTTGTTGAGAGAGTTGGGAGCGAGACAATGGCTCCATTAGCGATGTGTGTTTTGTTTTATATCGCTGGTTTTCCATCGTGAATTGCATTTCAGCTCCGTCTGACATGGATGCTCCGTAATCTAGAGCCAATAGGAGGATGCCAGATCAGACTTAGCTGTCATTGTATTGAACGTGGCTGATAGGGATTGGGTGTTCATACGAATTGGGAGCATATTTACGGTTTAGCGTCCAATAAAAATATATATATATATATATATATTATTTTAATTATTTAAAACAACATGCAGTTCCATTTCAACACAGTATTCAATTCACTAGTAATATAAATGTATCTATTTTTTAATTTTTTTTGTAGATCTTGAGTATTTAATATATAAATTTTATTATCTATAATTTTAATAAATATATTTGTATAAGATTATATTGATATTTGCATAAAAATTACTTACATGTACCTATAAAATTGTCAATTATCTTAGTCTTATAATTTTTTAACAATTCATAATTTGCATATCTATATCTATATCTATACTTATATAATAAGGTGTACCATTTACAAAATTTAATAAGTTAAAAAGTTAATGCAATAAATGCATTATTATTTTGAGCAACATAATATAATATCATATTTATACTTATATAAAAGAAGATTCTATTTACTACATTTACTATCTAGAAAAGTCAACTGCATTAAATGTCATTACTATTTTGGTATTATAATATTTTATTTATTTAATTGATTTATTTATTTATTTTATTTTAAAAAGGTAAGTACAATAAAAAGATTTTAATAATAAAAAAATCAAATACCAAATAAAAATGTACACTTTGACTTATTTGATTATATTTGGTATTTGATTTTAGTATATACATTAAATACTTACTAAAGTATTTATTTGTTTTATTTGTCAAAGTTAAGTATAGATTTATTTATATTATCAAATCATAAAAAAATATTAAATCCATATTATTAAAAAAAATCATATAATTTTATAACAATTCTACTACACTATTTAACAATATTCCTTTTTTATTATATAATAAAATAATAATTAAATATTATATGGTGAACAACAATAAGTAAAACTGTTACTTTCTCTTATATCAAGGGATAAATTTATATGCTAAAATTAAATTTTTATTAGTATAAATATTTTAGTGAGATAATATATTGATTATTTTACAAGCTAGCCTTAACATGCTCATATTTAATGTTTTAAAAGATGTAGAAAAAAAAACTTATAATAACTCTATTGTTTTTTAGACTTAAACGTGGATTAAAAGAGGTAAAAATTCCTAATTTTTTAGACTTAAACGTTGATTAACACCATAGATTGAGAGTCTATATTTAGTAAAATTCCTAATTGTAATAAAAAAATTAATTTTTGTTATATTTTAGAATATCTTTAAATTCATTATAAAAAAAAAAAATTAAAAAAAAAACTACAATGAAAAAAGCAAGTCAGCTATATATCGATTTGTTGCACTCCTCAAATCACATTCACAATTTGGCTACAAGGAAAGGAAACTCATTGATTAAAATATTATTTTGTCAGTAGTCTTAATGTACAAGAGACTTTAAGACTCCACTTGAATATTATAAAACTTTTATTGAACATTGTACAATTTTCTTGCGTATTATAAAATTTATTGAATATTGCATCTTATAATATAATATTCTCCAAATAAATATATCCCGTCACGTACTATATATATTCTTTATTCATGTATATAATTATAAGACTGGATAAATAGCCTTAAAATTGTGCACCCCGTGCATCGCATGGGCTCTGTACTAGTTTATATAATAAGATGTACCATTTACGAAATTTAGTAAGTTGAAAAGTCAATGCAATAAATGCATTACTATTTTGAGCAACTTAATATAGTATCATATTTATCTATACTTATATAAAAGGAGATTCTATTTACTACATTTACTATCCAGAAAAGTCAACTGCATTAAATACCATTACTATTTTAGTATTATAATATTTTATTTATTTAATTGATTTATTTATTTGTTTTATTTTAAAAAGATAAGTATAATAAAAATATTTTAATTATAAGAAAATCAAATACCAAATAAAAATGTACACTTTGATTTATTTGATTATATTTGGTATTTGATTATACCAAATATATTCCTATTTAGTATATACATTAAATACTTACTAAAGTATTTATTTGTTTTATTTGTCAAAGTTAAGTATAGATTTGTTTATATTATCAAATCATAAAAAAATATTAAATCCATATTGTAAAAAAAAAATCATATAATTTTATAACAATTCTACACTATTTAACAATATTCTTTTTTTATTATATAATAAAATAATAATTAAATATTATATGGTTAACAACAATAAGTAAAACTGTTACTTTATCTCTTATATCAAGGGATAAATTTATATTCTAAAATTAAATTTTTATTAGTATAAATTTTTTAGTGAGATAATATCCCTCTTAATATAATTTGAAAACGTGCTGAGCCTAATTGGCTGCTTCGCACGCTTCGGAAGCTTACTTGGCAACATTACATGCTTCGGCTTTTGGTTCGGATACATTCCCTAATTGTTTAAAATAAAATACTTAATAAATAAGATTACATGCTTCGGTTTTTGGTTCGGATACATTCCCTAATTGTTTAAAATAAAATACTTAATAAATAAGTTTTTTATATGTCGTGTAAATCCTCCAACTCCAAATTAAATAAGATTCTTTATCTTATAAGACTTCCCAAATAAATACGATTCTTATATGACGCGTAAATCCTCCAACTCCAAATTATTATCGTATAACATTACATCTTAGGATTCTTATCTTGTCGTGTAAACCAAAATAAATAAAAAAAATTAGCTTTATATATTATTTTATTTATATAATTAATGTAAACAATAACTTTTTTATATAGTTTAAATTAAAAAAATACTATAATTTTACAAAAAAAAATATAGCCACTTGCATATTATATCTTTTCAATCCAACCATAAATAAATTATTTAAATCTTTTTAGAATATCTATAAAAATACATTGAAATAGTTATAGAATATTATATGATCTTTCTAATATATTTTAAAGAGTTGAAATAGTTATACAACAACATATGTGTTTTTTTTATTATTTTATATTTTATATTTTTTTTCAAACAACCCGTGTAGTACACGGGTGTCGTACTAGTATTAATTATTTTACAAACTAGCCCAAACATGCTCATATTTAATGTTTTAAAAGATGTAGAAAAAAACTTATAATAACTCTATTATTTTTTAGACTTAAATGTTGATTAAAAGAGGTAAAAATTCTTAATTTTTTAGACATAAACGTTGATTAACACCATAGATTGACAGTCTATATTTAGTAAAATTCATAATTGTAATAAAAAAATAAATTTTTGCTATATTTTAGAATATTTTTAAATTCATTAAACTACAACGAAAAAAGCAAGTCAGGTATATATCGATTTGTTGTACTCCTCAAATCACATTCACAATTTGGCTACAAGGAAATGAAACTCATTGATTAAAATATTATTTTGTCAGTAGTCTTAATGTACAAGAGACTTTAAGGCTCCACTTGAATATTATAAAACTTTTATTGAACATTGTACAATTTTCTTGCGTATTATAAACTTTTATTGAATATTGCATCTTATAATATAATATTCTTCAAATAAATATATCCCGTGCTTCGCACGAGTCACGTACTATATATATTCCGTACATTTTTCTTTATTCATGTATATAATTATAATCCTGGATAAATACCCTTAAAATTGTGCACCCCGTGCATCGCACGGGCTCTGTACTAGTTGTTTGCTAATTAACCAACGATTAATCCGTAACATTTGTCTTCATTTATTATAATTCTAAGTGCATGAAATGTAAAAATATTTAACAATTTTAATTTTAATTCTTAATAACTTTAATATTTATGAAACACAAATTTTTAACGGTTAAATATTTTATTTTTATTTTTATACTTTTTATTTATATTATTTGTTTAATTTATTTTTTCAACCTATATAATAAGTTAATTAGTCTACATTTGAAGATTTAAATATATTAGATATTTTCATGATTACAAAGTGCTATAATGTAAAATGTGACATTTGACTATTTTATTTACTTGTTTTTATTTGTAAAATAGTATATAATAAAAATTATAGTTTTCTAAAACTTGAGTATTTTTTTGATGTACATACATATTTCTAAAATGAAATTTATAATTTTAAATTATACCTCACCATAAAATATTACTTTTACTAATATATTATTCTAATTTTCATAATATTTCATTACAAATGATATGTTCAATGAAGATTGCCTTTTTATGGTTAAATTAAATACATTTTAGAAAATTTTATTAATATTTGAAATTATTCATTAAGTTAGTATGACTCAAACATAGTTATTATGATTACTTTATTACATACTATAGGTATTTCTAAACGTGAATATAATTAACTAAATTTTTGTCTACAAATTATATATTAATTAAATAATTTTTTATATTATATTTTTTGTGTTCAAGTCAATTTATAGTTAATGAAACAAAGAGTCAAGTGGACCAGCCGTCACTTTTGGTGACAAGTTCAAATTGTACTTTTTGTGACCAATATCTGATCGAGAAATGAGTTGATGAACCGGGTGGTCTTACCAGAGATAGGAATTTATCCATTTTTCGATGATCCAACGCGCTAAGGCTCGATGTAATTGACCTGCCTGTTTTCAGTCTAATGACTGGACACGACCAACTCCGACTCTATAAGCCCTCGTCTTTACAGGAATTGTCGCTGCTGAGCGTAGATTACTTTACAGCAATGTTAAGCTAAACAGTTACAATATCAGTCGGTTGGTTTATTGTACAGCACGCTCCTGGAGTTGCATTGGAAAGCTAAGCTCATGGAGCAGAGAAGAGTTAGTTCCCTGACCTCATCTAGAGAGAGGGCCAGCTCCAAGACATCCCATCGCAGTTGGAGAGATTTTTATCTTAAGGGAAAAGATAGATCTTTTATTGTCTAGGTTCAATGAAATTGAGGGAAAGTTCACTCTTTTAGTTTCTGTTCCGGAGAAGGAGTAAATGCATATGGCCTCCATAAAGCATAGTA